TTTTTGCTCCAGGGAGACAGCATGCCTCCCTGGATTGTATGTCTGGTCTGCAGATAGATGGTTGTGTTCCTTTGAGGATAGAGACTCCTATTACCAACACTCTCCTTTCTTTTTTGGGGGGAGGGGGCTGCAGTCTGGGGTGCTTTTCTGTTTATCTCTGGTGTATTCGTTGATGTGGCTTTTTTAGGAATATTTGAAGTTGTTTCTTTGCTAGGTGTCTGCATGTCTTCTTTGGGAGGGGTTGTGGGTCTGCGTGTTTCCATCTAAGGGGAGAAATCAATTGCTCAGTTTTAATAGGGCTGCTTCTGGTTGTGTAGGATTGGGCAGAAGGGGTTTGTTGTATGCTGTTTCTTTCTTTGGGTATTGTGTTTTCTTCTATGTGTGACATACCTACATTTGTCTTCCTCCAAGGGTTTATCAATAGGGTCAAGTCCTCTGGGAGTTATTTGTTCATTGTTTGGTTCGGTTTGGGTGGAGCTTTCTTTCGTACATTGGGATTTGGCTAGAGTTGCCTCTAAGTTCCTAATCTTTTCCTGTAGTAGTTCACATAATCTGCATCTAATTCATGTTTAGTTTGGGTGTTCTTTGGGCATCAGAGCATACATGAAACGTATATTGCATACCACAATAGTATCAGTCACCTGTTCCATGAGTTTGGTGTTTGATAGTCCCTCTTTTTGGTTGGTGGATGTGCTTTGCTGTTGGCCTTGTTTCAAGCTTCTCTGTTCTGGATAATTATGCCTATTTTGCTGTACTTTTTTCTGCCTGTCTGTGCTCGTTTTTGTGCCTTGTTATTTTGGTGTAGATGAAGTATGAGGTAGTATGCCCTTTGGTTTTGAGAGAAGAAAAATTACAGTTTATATTGAAATTAAGGGTTATTGTTTTCTTGATTTGCTTATTTATCTCTGCCCTCTCTGCCTTGGTTTTTTGATTGCCTTTCTGTGCTCAGCCGGTCTTTCTGGTTGCCCTGTTGCCTCTAGCTGTTGCTCCGTCTCCAATGTTCGGCCAGGTTTTTTCGGGCTGCCAGTCAGGTCCTCCACTGCTTTGCTGTCTTTGTCATGCTGCCTCGCCGTTGCCTGCAGACCTCCGGTCCGCTGCTGCCTCAACGCCCCCACCTGCAGGCCTCCCGGTCTGCCACTGCTGCCTTGCCCCCACCTGCAGGCTTCCCGGTCCGCAGAAAAGAATGCCATCGCCTGCAAGCATCCAGTTCGCCGATGCTGCCTCACCGCCACCTGCAGGCCTCCCGGTCCACCGCTGTCGCCAGCCGCCACCTCTGCGCTCCATCAGCCGCCTAACCGGTCCGCTGCTTCATGTTGCCGCCAGCCACTTCCTTTTCGCTTAGTTCAAATATTTAAAAAGATGTTACATTACTGAAAATGTACTTGTCTTAATGAAGGGGAAACTCATTTCTATATTTTTTCTATTTTTTCATTTTATATTTTTCCCTCCCCCATTTTTCAATATTTCTCTTAGTTTACATTAGTTTTATCTTTGTGTTTTTAAACTTCAGTAAAAATTATTATTATTAAATGTACCATAAGATAACTTTTCTTTAATTTAAGAATTATAATTAGGCCCTTCAGGTTTAATGGAAACATTAAAAACTCAGCAAACTATTAAGTTTTTGAATAATTGTATATTTGCAAAATTAAGCAATACTCTTTTAAAGGAAAATTAAGCAGCTCTATTAGCTCATTAAGAATAGATTATTAGACTAGAAATTAGATTCCTTATTAGAAACTACAGTATTTAACAATATCAGGGGGCGGAATATATAAATGAAACTTAGTAGTCTTTTTTATTTTTACTTTTATTAATCATAGTATGATCCTTTTTAGAAGATTTTTAAATGTTTTAAATTATAATTGAAGAAATCCTTGACCCTTTTAAACAAATAAGAAATTTAGAAATTATTGTTACATGGGCATTGTTATAAAGTTATAGTTTTTAAAATATAAAGTAATTGTTCAACAAGTTCCAACAAAAATCTGTATGACATCAAAAGTGGTAACATTTTTTAATTGCCATACACCAAGATTGAATTTGGATGCATAAAAATACTTGCATGCTTTGTGGATTGGGGTTTCTTCAGTATAGGAAAAGTTTTAGACTAAGGCATTTGTTTTATTTATCGTCAGAATTGAGCAAGCAATCAAAAATAACACTGGTGATCCCTCCTGAATCTATCAGCTTTAAAAACACACACTAAAGTCAAATATAGCCCTATCTCTCTTCTATTTGCTGCATATTTTAACACAACCACTGAATGATCTGCTGTCAGCCAGAGCTGATATAGAAGACACATTTCCATAAGGAACATACATCAACAAAGAAAGCAGTATCTAAGAGGTAAATAGAAACAGAATATGGATTATAGAAATTGAGAACCAGCCACAACTTTTGCAGAAGAAATGGGTCGTAAACATTTAGAAGAAAAAAATAATACTACAGTATAAAGATAGCAATTCCTAAAGAATAGAGGGAATGTAGTAGTTTCCTGAAAGACAAATGATCACAGAAGTTTAAGATAATGGTTCTCAAACTGCGGCCATATGGCCCTTTGACTATTTAGATTATTTCAAAGAAGGCCACAGATGAAAAACATGTCATGTGCCCCACCCACCCAAAAAAGAATTTTTATACTGCAAATACTCTCTTGCCAATGCCAGAAAACAAGATAATCCATATCTGGTAATGGGACCTGGATGGGTGAGACCTAGAAGAAAAAGAAGCTTGTAAAGGGGTCACAGGCAAAAAAAGAGAGAGAGAAACATTGGTTTAAGACTTGCTACTATAGATATATGTGGAAACATATATATTCATGCAATATACTATCTATCAGAAGCTTTGATTAGCAACAGGTGTTTGAAGGATTTTGTGTAGTTATATTTTGAATATAACCTTTCTGAAGTACGTGGAATTAAAACTTGTATTATCAGAAAAATATGGTCTGAAAGCTTTAGCAGCTTCAAATACACCTGAAGTATTTAGATATTTAATAGATGCTTTATCTGAAGTTATATCAACAAATTTAATTTTACACAAAACTAACCAATATACTAGTTAGTATTGGCAATATACTGTATATTATCTGTAAAATAAGGAACTGAAATCTTAGGAAATCAGGTCCAAGGCTTATGAAATATTGAATATACAATATTTCTTACAATTTTAAAAGTTCATTCATTCATGAAAAATATTTTGTTTTTACTTCTCACAATAATGTCTTCAAAAGGAGAAACAGCAGATATTATTTATGTTGGCTCTGTAAAATACCTAAAGGGTCTTTGACTGATACGATTTGGTCATATCCTTTTATGATTCATTTTTAGTCTCAAGGCATTATAGTTAACACAATTATGAGTAAAAGTATAGTTGCTAATGGTTAAAATGTGACCCTGAACTATCACTCCCAAAATATGGAATTTGACATTTTATGAAGAGTTCTGGAACTAATAGAGAAGGATATATGTAGCTCAAGGTTGAACTGTGGCATCCTTGGTGTTCTCTGAACTTGTTTGCTTGCATAACCAGTGCTAGTGTGTGGGTGTCTTGTTCTCTATATACAATAGCTTGCTCTGCCAGTGTTGGTGGGGGGGTATGGTTTTCTCCTTGGTAGTTCCTTTATTAAAGTAGTTTTCTGCTTTTTATTAGCTTGTCTTCTTGGTAGTTCCTTGATTAGGATATTGTTTTCTGTTTCTTTTCCTGGTGTTAGTCCCTGCTTATCTGGGTGTTGGCTGCTGGAGAGGATATGGGCTTTTTGTTTCCTTCTTAGCTTTTTTTACAATTTTGAACAGTGCGTAAATGTGATTTATCTCTATGCATCTATTAATGGCTGATTAATCTGAGTGCCCAGGAATTCCCTGAGTGCCCAGGAATTCCAGGAATTCCCTTGTGTTTTTGGATTTAGCTTGGTCTACAACGCTCAATTTTTCAGTTGAAACTATGGTTGAGTTTGTCCATATGCCTCTTCTAGGTTTGAAAGAATACATTTTCCTGTACTAAGTACTAAATCTTTCAGTGAGTAATAAAAATACTATTGTCCCATAGTTTTCACTATCTATGTTCTAATATTCAGAATAAGGGAAGTAAATAAAATTACTTCAAATTCTTGGTATGTAAGAGAAAGTATGATTTAATGGGACTAGAGATATGAGAATTACTTTCAACTACAATAGAACCACAATACAGGTAGTCCTCGACTTAGAACCACAATTGAGCCCAAAATTTCTGTTGCTAAGTGAGACATTTGTTAAGTGAGTTTTGCCCCATTTTAGAACCTGTCTTGCCACAGATGTTAAGTCAATCACTGCAGCTGTTAAGTTAGTAACACGGTTGTTAAGTGAATTTGGCTTCCATGTTGACTTTCTTATCAGAAGGTCACAAAATGTGATCATGTGGCCCCAGGACACTGCAACCATCATAAGTCAATTGCCAAGCATCTACATAATTCAGGCTACAGTATAATAATAAAATATCTTTAAGTAATTACACTTTCCACAATTGTTTTAATAATAAATATATCAAAATCAAGCATAATCATTTTGAAGGCACTTTAGGTAACTTTGAACTAGATGGTTATAAAGTGTTTTATTCAACTTATGTCAGGGACAAATGTTATCATAAAATATTATTGTGTGAACTACTTTAGCTTAGTTCTGATGAACTAATCCCAATTTGTAGAAACTTTTTTCTCATCCTTAACACAAATATTGTGGTATGAACTAAAATATGCCTGGTGATGATTAGTGCATGGTATTATCCAAATACCATGGATATCAAATACCATGTCTGTTCCTAGACAGCAGGAAAATTCTAGAAGATGCAATCTAACATACTGTATTTGGAGAATATCAGATTGGGGAATGCTGTATTAGAGAAAAAGCACCAAGTATTTCCTATGAACCATTTTTTTTAAAAAAAAAGTCCACCGTGAATTTCACAAAATATTCATCTTTTTGAAAGTTTAACAGAAGTTCCAGAACACTTTAAAAGGATACATTGCAAAAGCAAGAACAAGAAAACACCAGACTATGCTGATATTCATTTCTTGTGAAGGCTTCATCCAAGTATAGTAAGCTTCAGTTACCAAATATACCACTGTAGCTGCCACTGTGAAGTCCACCAACCACTGATACTCAGGAAAATAATGCAGGGCTAAAATAAAAAGTGGATATTTAGTAGTTGAAATATACACACACACATTTATAAACCGTCTCCAGAGCACAGACCTGGACATCTGTGAGACTATCAGCCTCCATCAAACAAAAACTGATAGAGTTGGCATGGGTCCCATCAAATAAGTGATACACACATATTAGACCAAGAAGGTATGCCTTGCCCTATGGAATAACATTTCCTCACAAGTTCAGATCACCCGTCTGTGCCCACCTTTAGAAAGGTCTTTAAGACATGGTTCTTTCCAAAGACATGGGCTAGGATGCTAAATGAACCCCCTTTAATATTCTGAATGCATGTTTCTTACAGCACATGTGTTTTTTAATCGTTTCTGTTATATTCTTTTTAATGTGATATTCTCACATTAGTATTTCTGCTTGACACTGACAAGACCCTAATCAGTTTCACATTAAAGGCTTTTGTTTGCCTAAGCCAGCGGCCTCCAATCTTTTGGGTATCGGTTCTGTGGAGAAAGGTTTTCCCGTGGACCGGAGGGGGCATGGTTTTGTTTGCTGTCTGCATCCAGCGGATGGGGCTTTGCTTTTTGGCATGCCATGGACCAGTGCTGGCCGACGGACCAGGGGTTAGAGACCCCTGACCTAAGCAACTGGTGGCTCACAACCCAGAGCACACTAGGCAAACAGCCTGCACCAGCACATACCTTTTGATGTGTATTCCCATTGTGTGCCTCCTTATTCTTTTGCAATCCCTTTCTCTCCAATGAATGTAAATACAAATCTTCTCTTCTTGCTAATTATCTGAGTGTTGGGGTGAGCATTTAAAAGGGCAGGGGAATGGAAGAAAAGGGCAATAGGATTTGCCCTTTTACATGGCTTCCTTGTGAATCATGTTTCCGAAACCTTTCCTAGTGTTTCACCCAGTTATTTGGGGTCTATCTTTCTGACATTGTAAAGCAAAGGAAATCTGAAGTAAAATCATAATCACAGTTGCAGTCATGTGATTATCACTTAGTGACTGCTTTGCTAAATGACTGCAGTTGCTAAATGAGGGCTACTTGTATATTTTCCTGAAGCACTTTATATGAGGAAAATGGAAAGACAGGAAAGTATACTGATAATGAATAGTCCTAGTTACTTGTCCTTTTCTCAACCACCAAGTGTGGTCGAAATAAAATCTTATGGTCTCAGATATTCCCAGATGTTTCAAAAATATTACAAATGGAACAATCAGATAATTTGATCTCAAAAAATATATTAAAAGTTTTAAATATAGATTCAAGTATCACTTACATAAATGTGAAAAACGATGCTAACGTTAACCAAAGAATTGCATAAATATCACATTCCATCAAGTTATTTTTATATGCACTCAAAAACCTGTTTTCCAACATTTACTAAAGTTCATTAGGCCAATGCAAAGCTTGAAGGTGGTGGTTTATTAAGTATTTATTAAGATATTATCTAATATCCTAATATAAAAATAACAGATATACATCTCTTTAAACTACTTTTTATTAACCTCAGCACCTTTAAAATGCATGGACTTCTGGGAGATGAAGTCCAGGCATCATAAAGTTGCTGAAGTTAAGAAACACTGCTCTAAACTTCCGTATTGTTCTGCTTTCCTTCTGAGGTCTCTTCTGGAATCCAATAATTAAAGGAGACTTTTGTACAATAATCTTATTCAGTTAATGGACAATTCAAAACTCCTTAATGAGAAAAATGTTAGCACTTTCATATCTCTATGGGATGAACATTTTTGCTTCCTTAGGGCAAAGTGCATTCACTCAGACAAATCCTAATGAAGATCCTTAATTCTCATAAACTAAAATGAACTATAAAACATACCACCTATTTTGCATAATGATAACTACTTACATGCATCTACTAAATCTGGCGGTTACAATACTGAATCAATATGATTCCTTTTGACATGTTTCTATTTCCTCCAGAATCTGCTAGAATTGAGCAAGTTTTATTGTAAAATACATATTTGAAATTCAAAAGGAAAACTTGGCATATACATTTGAAATATTCCCTCTATGTAGAAAGTTCAAATAAGCCAAGGATAGCTTATAAAAAGGCTAAACACACGGAGATGAATTAAGCATACTAATGGATTTTTTGATTATTTTATGACTGCCTAAATACTATTCTATGGATCCTCAAGCTGTAGCATTTCTCCTTTTGTAAAATATATTTTAAAAAGATTTTCCAAAAATAACAAATGCTTAGGAACACAAAATTTTATCATGATTCAATTTATTATACTCCCTTACCCAATGCATCCATTTCAGTGATAGATTTTGTTTCCAGATGAAGATTAATATCTTTAGGAATGGTTAATGGTTTGTTTTCAATGTGACCATTGTACTTCCTGTTAAGATAAACATATATTAAAAACTGTCAATATCGCATCAACTCTTACTAACACTCTAAAATTGCTACTTAAAAAGTAGCATGAGACACAAACAGCCTCATTCATAAAGAAAAATAATGGGATGAGGTGCAAGCCATCTCCAGTTCAGCTACTGCTAACAATAATAGTAGCTCTGAGACAAGGCTGATTATACAGCCCACTCAACCACTTAAGAAAATGAGATTCTACTATAAAAATTTTCAGGAACCATATCTTCTTTACTGATATAATTGTGACATGAACAAACTAAAATATTGCAATCTTTCTCTAACAACCCCATGAAGTAACAAATAAGCAGTTTGAGAATGAACAAGGACCAGATCATCTAACTCATATCTATCCATCTAACTTAAGAACATTCTCTTCTAAAAAGTTACTACAAGGGACAAACATACATCATTGGGTGCTTAAGTTCTTGTGCTCACACAATTATACAGCAACCACAGAAAATGAGAAAAGATTGAGGAGTTTGGAATTAGGATATAATAATGCAAAAGAATGTTTTTGTTCTTTTTTCTTCTCACTCACCCTCAGAAAGAATCAATTAAGAAAAAAAGGAGGATGACAAACAACTCAAAGAGTACTTAATAGATTTTAATAAAGCTACTTTCAATATTACAATGTTATTCAATAGACAGAAATGCTATCAAATTTATTTGCTGAAAAGAAAACTGATCTGTGAATCTAAAGGGTGAAAACTTAGAATCTGCTACTCAGCTTTATCTAATTGGGTATATGTGCACACATGTGCAAATGAACTTGAATTTATTTAACTGAGTTGAACTAATGAGCATATTATCATTCCATTTTTATGCTAGAATTTTTCATAAGCACGTGTACAAACCCAACTCATAAAATTCTGGCAACTCTTTTGCTGAATGGCAAGAAATGAAAATAGGCAAGAGAAATTTAGTAATTTAAGTTCTAAGAATCAAGAACACAAAAGCTCCTAAAGATGCTCCTGGAGCCATATCTAAAAGCTCACAGGCTTTATTATCAATTATTTTTCTATAACAAATTCTTCTGAAGAATAGCTGAAATCGCCTTGCATACTAAGCATCCTTTAGGTCAGTGGTTCTCAACCTTTTTAATGCCGCGATCCCAACCGGTCGTAAGTCGAGGACTAAACTGGTCGTAAGTCAAGGACTAAACCGGTTGTAAGTCGAGGACTAAACCGGTTGTAAGTCGAGGACTACCCAACCGGTCGTAAGTCGAGGACTTTCCCTGCCCGGGAGCGCCACGCATGCGTGGTTCCGCCCCCTACGCCGGCCGAGGCGTAGCTGGCAAGCGGCAGAGACGGAGCAGGCCGACCACCAGCTGGCCCAGCCCAGGGGAGGTAAGGCACCCACTGGAAAAGGGGAAAAAAAATGGTGGACAAAAAAAATGACGGACAAAAAAAATGGCTGACAGCCTTGCTTGGCGACCCCCGTGAAATGGTTGATCGACCCCAAATGGGGTCCCGACCCACAGGTTGAGAACCACTGCTTTAGGTGTTCTCTTCTACCTTTGTTAATTTGTTTTTAATACATTTACAGCTGTTCCATAACACATAAAACAAGGTACTGAAGGATGTACTAAATCCTCAGGAGCATTTGGCTGCTGAACTTTCCTTTGGAAAACCTAATTTCTAGCCTTTATAATTTAATGGAGAAATAAAGCTGATGCACAATTTGTATAAACCTTTCAGATGGAAAACACTGTTGTTCAAGTAAAAATTTGACATAGTAAGTGAAAGAATGAGTTGTAAGAAATGGCTACCTGAGGGTTAAATTATTCTCAGTGGCAGTCCTTCTTATTTGGAATGCCTTGATCAGTGTATTATTTTGGTATCAGACAGTATTTTTCAGGCCCTTAAATAAATTAATACTTTTAGATTTTAACTTTTATTCTGTGATGGAGCAGTTTAATTAATTTACTATGTGGTACACTTCATTCTGAAGAGTAGCATTAAGGCTTGAAAGCCAATTTGTAAAAACTTCACAGAAGACAACACAGGCAAACTGTTGAACTACAACTGCCAAGAAAACAGCACAGCCCCATCTTTATAATTATCAAAAGTCAAGTTTGACTTGATGGCATTTACTGTTGTACAATAATTTTAAATAAGACATACAAATAATTAATTTTAAAAGAGACTTTTCTCAGCCTTGCTTATAGTAGTTTTACCAGTGGACAGACGTAGTAGACTTCAATCCTCTAGTAGAAGAAATCTTATAGGTTATTTGAATATTTAACTTCTAAACTATAATTAGTGTGGGATCAGTATCACACAAACAGAATTCTTCCATGTTAATGTTCTAAAATTATCTATACAGAAGTCCTTCTAAGTGTCAGTAGAACAAGAGATTAGTCGGTAGAACATTAGATCTTGCATCTTGGATAGTCACATAATACTGATTTTGGCTTGTCATCTGGATAAGTTTTTTTTAATTGACCAAATAAGTTGTAATTCCTGACTGTATGCTAGTGTTACTCTTTTTATTGTAATACCTGTTCATTTTAAATTCTTCCACATAAACTATGATGTATACATATTTAAATTAAACAAGGAAGTCAGCAAGGTAACTCAGTTCTAATTGTACTCTGTACCTTTTCTTATCCTTTTAAGCCAATAAAATGCATAATAGAGACAAGGGCCAGTATATTAGAGATTACCTATCTCCATTTCCTCTACCTTAACCCTAACCCTTTGATTTTTAGTATGGTATCAACATTTTAAAAAGCAGATTTGCATACCCATACAATTTCTTTCTGTGCAAAATCACTTTTAAAAATTTATTTCCGTAATTAAGGAAAATTAAATAATCAACCACAATTTACAACTATGTAAAGACTGGAAAATAATTCGTTACCCACACTGTTTTCGTACCTATCTTTCTTGCTTTTTCCCTTTTGTTGTTTTCCTGCAAGAATACGTAATTCTTCTTCTGTGGGATGCAGGTACCACCGCAAACTAAAAAACAATCCCCCCCCAAAAAAAACCATTAACGATTGGAATGACATTTTACTAAATATAATACAGGCCCTTGCAATTCAAATAGTAAGGTTAAAATAGTTTTAATTATATCCATACTTGCCCATGAAAACTTCTAGTTATGCAATATAGAACTGTATTCTTCATTTGTGATTATCTTACATATGATGTTGACATGTGAAACGAAAACAGAAACAGAGAGAGCAGGAGGAAAAGGACAGCAAAGGACAGCAGGAGTAGGAAGTGACAGAGTGAAGGGCAGCCAAAAGAGCAGAGATAGGGATAGGTAGGAAGGGGGGTGGAAGCAGAGGACAATGCAGCAGGATAAGAGAAGCGTGGTCCTTGCCTAACACCCACAACCAAAACTACTGGAACTGGTGATGTAATAACCACTGCTTTGTGATGGAAATTCCACCAGATAATTATCTACAGATAATTCTGTAGATAAATTATGACAAACTCAATAGTCCATGACCAGCTGTTCAATATCCCGCAGGAATCTCTAGAGGACCAATAAGGAGATTGCTGTTTTAAGGCTTAGCAAGGCCAAAGCTACCCTACCATATTCTACTCACTTAGTCCTTCCACCTGTCCTCTCTAGTGAGGTATTTGAACAAATTTCTACAGTGGCAAGCAGCTGCCAATTATGAGTGCTAGACTCCCTTTTATTTGTCATGCAGCCATCTGGCTTATACAGTCCTTCCACATGTCTCAGAATCATCCATCAATTAAGCTCTTGATGAAGACAGAGAAGATTTAGGTTGAGTAGATAAATCATCAGTTATTAGTAAATCCAACCAAAAGAACACCTGGCTGCATACATTGTGCAGTGACTGTTGTAACTATGTATAGAATTGTGGGGTCCTTGATACTTAATTATTTAATCAGGAAATTGAGCTTATTTCTTATTTTATAATTTTTAGAGTAATCCCTTCTGAAATTTAAATGCATTTATAAAAACCAAATAATATCTAACTAGAGAATTAATCTTCCGAAGATCACCCATTATTCTAGTTTCCTAGCAAGAATACCACAAAAGGTAGAATATTTCAAATGGAAATTCACAAGTACTTCTAAAGGATTTAGGGAGTCTGGGAATAGCCCAAATGTGCTTTCTTAATTGTTTTTAACAAGTAATTTATTAAGTAATTTGTCACAAGTACTATAATTGACATTAATGACTATTGTCTTTAAGTAAGCCATCCTCTTGTTTTAAATTTCAAATCTGATTTTCCTCTTATAGGGGGCATATTTTAATTGAGACAATTATGCAGAAAATATATGGTCATATTATTAAGCAAGGTGAGATAGAAGTGTCTATCCATGGGCAGCATATGTAATAGTACAATAAAGTATATAGCACTTATTTCTCAAGAAGACGCTAAGCTACAGCATAATGCATATTTTTAGATAAGACTGGAAAAGATTTAACATGATTATTTTTAGAACCATTATAATTATAATCAATTCCCAGACAAACTTGGTACACAATGGAATAAGCCAGCAAAATATCCAATGGCATCTTACAGATGCAGCAAATTTAGCATCAGCTTTCATGGACAAGAACCCACTTTATCAGATGTTTAATTCTGGTTTCTTATCTTACCTTCCACTGCAAAGAAGCCACCGGGCAAGAGAGTAGTGAGGTATGATCTTCTGTATAATGCTAGTCATCACCATGGTAACCACCAGCTGCACACCTATCACCCCCTGTAGAAGAATAAACCAATGCATGTTAACATGAACAAACTTTATTTCACAGCTACTCTAAAACCAATCTTTAAATAGCATCATTTTCTTATAACTGAATTATTATTAGTTCTAAGCTAAAGCACTGACATTTTAAAATGTGGCTTTATAACAGCTCTCTCGGCTTTGACACTTCCCAAATATGTTGGACAACAAACCTTATAATCTATCACATCTGTAAATTGAGTACACTTTTAATAGGAAGTATCATTTGTCTTCTATTACAGATTATATTCAGAATAACAATTATATAAACAGACTTAACTTTATTTTTAATATTTTTAAAGATATAGTTCTATACTTTATTTACATTAGAGTCAACATTCTTACCAATTCTTAAATTTGCTGGAAAAATCAGTATGAAATATCAATATTTTTCCTAACTTCATCTTTGACCTCCGTTTTTGAAAATCTGGTGAATAACTACCGTAGCTACAATTCTATATACTGAAGCCCAGATTTGTCAGCATTTACTAAAATAAAATAAGCAGAAGGATAAAATCAACAATGCATTCAATAACTTCCCATTAATTCTCAAATTCATGCTTATTCCACTTGAAAAACTTTCTTTGTATAACCAATGAGACAATAGTGAAACATATATTATTTTATTGGATAAAATGAAGTAGCATATCTATTATTTTCTATTGTCATATGTGATGTGCTGTAGTTATGGTTTTTGAAGTTAAAATGTACATGGCCAGTTCCATCATAAAAATGAGAAATCTTTCTATCTAAGGGCTGTTGGAAAATGTATGTGACAGATAAAATGGCATATGAATTTGAAAATAAAAGACACATGCAAATGTTTCACATTAAACTTTTTAAACTTAGTGAACAAAATTAGAGTCAATATATAAACTTTTTTATCAGAAATCACAGATATAGATAATATTGCTTAGATGTTCCATAGAGATATCAGTGATTAAATTCATTGTGAGTCTTACTTTAAAATCTATTTCTCACTCTCTCTGCATCCTAATAGCTGCGTCTTAAAGTAGCCTTCCAGTGTTTCATTTGGTTCATAAAACTACCAGTTCAGAGTAAGACAAAGAGATTCAAATAAAGAGGTGCTAACTCAACCATTACAATAAGAACAAAAAAATTAAAAGCAGTGAAATATCAATTTAAGGATAAGACTAAATAAATTGAAGTTCAGATGGCAGAAAACTGAAAGGCTAAGAACTGGGATATTAAAGTCCAAATACCAAATATATCAAGTTCAAAAATGTTAATAATTCTTGGGTATATGTATAAGACAAATTATGTAAATCATTCCATTTCAATGCACATTAAGAAAAACAATTATGATTATTTAAAATTGCAAAACATCTGGTAGGTAACTCAAGCCATTCTCTAAGTCTGCTCCTTACTTCCAGCATTGCAAGGTCTCTCTTGTTATTCCTGTCAATATACAGTAACTTGTGCCTACTCTGTTTGCAAAGTACAGATAGTCCTCAGATTATTCAGCAACCATTCAAAGTTACAATGGCACAGAACAAGAGGGACTCATGACTGATCCTCAAAGTTCTGGCTGTCACAGCATTCCCGACAATCATATGACTGTGATTTTCAATATTCCCTGCTAGCTTCCCAAAAGCAAAGTTTATGGGGAAGCTAGCAGGAAATTAGAAGTTGCAGTTACATGAGGTCCTCACTTAATGACCCATATGGTCTCCCCTTAAGGACAGCAACAGGGACTACGAGAACTGTTATTGCTAACACTAATATAGTATTTTCAGATCAAAGCACTATTTATAAGAAATATTTTAGACAACTGAATACTGGTGACAGAATAGTACTGAATTCCCACTTAGAATTGCTTCCTATTTTCTGTGCCAGTAGGATTCCACCCAACGATTTCCATTAAAAGTTAAGAAGAATGTGAGCATATCTGGTACATATTGTCACACACCAATTTTAGTTATCACAGTAATATAATATGAAACTGGGATAGATCAGAAGCACACTTTATCATTTAAACAAGGAATCAAATTAACTTTCACTAAGTACATTGAAATTGTTGTAAATGGTTTTGATATTAAAATGTATCTAAAGACTGTAAATGCTTGCCTTCCCTGACAATTAATATATACACATACATTTGTCATTCTGAAAGATATGTTTTTCCCTTGGGTCAGGATTCCAAGCTTCCTTAGGTCTCTCCTTTGACCCATATCTCTCAAATCTGTCTTTCCTCAATTTCCTTTTTTTCTGAAATCTAAACTATGAAAGATGCTTTGCTATGCTTTGAGGGACAAGTCTAATACCCAATCATCACAATAATACTATCTGTTTAAAAATGTTCTCACAATACATATAGAGTTGTAATTAAAAATAACACTTTCTAATATGCTTCATGTTATGAAGGCAGAGTAATATGTTAGTGTAATTGCTTTTCAATTGTTTACCCACAGGACAAAATAGAATTTTAGCTGCAAAATACCTCTTATTCCTATTTTCCTTTTCTAAGCCTATTTCATGCAATCAAACTTTTTCCACTATACCCTGTAAGATCAATATCTGACCACCATGTACCTATCACTAGGCTGTACAAATGACTATGTTTGTTCTAAGCCAGTGCCTCCTGAGTTCAAAAGAAGACAGAGTACTATCTATACTATATTATTTATGGGAAACATACATTGCTATTAAAAAGGGAATATCATTAATGATAAGATAGCTATTCCTGACCCTGGTTAAGAATTCTATATGATCTGCCTTGTACGGACGTGTTAAACCAGGAGAATTTTACCCTTCAACGGACTAAAAAACAACAACAATTCAAGTTAGTCAGTGATTATCTATTTTAGAAATAAGAAATCTTAATGGAAACTAAAGTGACAAAAGTATTATGGTATAGTGGAAGATTTTGTAGGCTGCAGCCTGTTAATTAGACATAGGAGGCATTCTTTTGAGCTTCAATTACATATATGCCCAAAGTTGGGGTGAAATAATAAGCAGTGATCAAGATGAGTTTAAATATATAAAGAATATTCAGTGATAATTTAATGTTGACTATTTATAAAACAGATGAGTGAATTATCGTGTTTCCCTAAAAATAAGACCCAGTCTTATGTGGGTGTTTTTTTTTGCCTCCAAAAGAGGCACCAGGTCTTATTTTCAGGGGGAGGGTATTATTTCATTCACCTCATGGCTGTGGCACCGACAGCCCCACCCAGCCGGCTCACGCTTCTTCTGCTGCCGAAGGAGCAGCTTCATTCTGCAGCTGAGAATGGAGCTCCGGCCTGCATTTCGCAATCAGAGAACTGCGGATTGAAGCTGCTCCTTCAGCTGCAGAAGTGGGCTGGCAAGGCAAGTGTCAATCCATGGGAGGCCTGGCTGCAATTGTAAGTTTCACTCCCCCGCCCCAGATTGATTTTTAGGCATGCACCTCGTCTCGCTTGTTTTTGGGATAGGACTTATATTAGGCCCACCCCCAAAAATCAAGCAAGGCCTTATTTTCGGAGGTCTTACTTTTGGGCAAACACGAAACCATTTCTGCATTAGTTAGCTATGTAATATATACAGTACATAAGCTGAGTTTCTTGATAAATTCTAGTTCAGCTATTTACCACTATAATTAATTTTTGAATGTCATATATTAGGAAGTTAAAAGTTAACATTCTGTTTTTTATAATTTTAATTTCTGATGTAACATTTATATCCTTTTATTCTTTTTAATAGTCTTATCTCTCATCTTATAAAATATTACACTTGAAAATCAGCTAACAGAAGAGCTAACATTAATAGTGCCATCAGACAGTGTTACCTTCTTCATATCTATAGCTTTTTAAACAGCAGCGCCTTGGTTCACACATCATGTCTAAGTGAAACAATTAGATATTAGTATTAGATATTAACTCAGCCATGATATTTTATGATTCAGCAACTACAATGGATTGTGTGTAAGTAAAAAACAAAAGAAGAATATTCACATCTTTATTTACAACCTAAAGCTTATGACAGGGAAATGTCCTTGGCAGTTTGAGTTGTATATTATGAATCATATTAATACTGCCATGTAAACCCCAAAATAAACTTGACAAATGTTAAGCACCCTTAGCTATTCAAAAGTTTCCTGTCCCTGTATACAGCAGTGTTTCTCAACCTTGACAATTTTAAGGCATATGGACTTCAACTCCCAGACTACCTGTATTTAGAAATAACAATACATTTTAAACACTACTTACAAATCCAAAACATTAAATTATTTTCAAAAATAATAAAGTGATTAACAAGGAAGTGAAAGCATAATCTAGAATATTAGTTTTTTTTTAAATTGATGTCACATAGTTTAATCTTTGAAATTGACAGCATTCAGACAGGCCTCTGATAAATATATTAGTACACAAATTGTTGATGTAAGAGAACAACTTTAAAATTATTTGAGTCCCAAAACTCGTTGTTAGTTTTGGAAATGCATTCAGAATTGATCTTATAACCATTCCAAATATTTCAAACCCTAGGAAAATATTTACTCAGTTCAAAAATAATGGATGTGCTTTAAATTAATTGCAGCTTCTGAACTATCTTCAAAGACTACCATTATTGTCAGACTACCTCGGTGCTATCAAGTGACCTATAGATAGCTCTCAACTTATGACCAGTTGCTTAGCTCAGACAGTTGGCAACTGGGCCACATTTATGGCCGTTTGCAGCATCCCATGGCAGTGTGATCATGTTTTACGACAGTTTTGTTGAAAACCAGCATTTACTTTCAGTTTTCAGCAAAATCATGCCTACAAGTAACTATTGGTTTGCTTAACGATTATTGCATTTACTTTATGATCACCATGTTTGCCTAATGACCACAAAATAGGGTGTAAAATTGGGTTGATCACATGACTGGCCCAGTTTATGACCATCATGACTTATCATAGTGATGGACAGGCTCCATTATAGTTGTTAAGTGGAAGACCACTGAAAATCTATAAATCTAACAATTTCAGGAA